AATTAGAATAATTATCGAGTTCCAACAAAATAAATAATTATTATCTTTATAAAAAATTATATTATTAAACCAAATATAAATTACTTCGTTATTCTACATAAATTAAATTATAAAAAATTTGAATTAAAAAATTACACAAAAAAATGAGGAATTTCAAATAGTTAATTTGATACTAATATCAATATATTTTTGTCAAATTTTTATGATATATTCAAAAATAAAAACATCACCGCTTTCTCAAAATCACATAAAGTCATCTTATGACATCGACTGAGATAAAGAATAAAATGAAATATAAAAATCACGATGTATCTCGCTGCATTGCGCGAGTATGCTTCTAGTATGTATTAATAAACAGTACTTTATGCATAAAAAGTGGTTTTTAAGAGCTTTTATCAACTGCTTTATAATATAGTATAGATCGTGGCATGGAACATAAATTCTTTTATATTTGAAAACTAATATTCCACGTCTATAAACTAAAAATTGCCGCATCCTTTAACGTCGATGCATCCCATTACCACGACCACCTCTGACCATGAATCTCTGACCACCACCACCTACAAACTCCTCCCTTCACCGTACTATTTATTTGCATACGGAATCGAGCCCCATATTCGAACCAACTAGATCGCCAAAAGATTTTAGCATATAAACGGTAGAAAAAAAAACCCATATCGATGGTTGAAGCAAATCAACAGAACCCATATTAGAATTGATTTTAGCAAGGTCGATGGTTCTGGGGGCGAGCTTCATTGTTCACAAAGTTTCGCCTAAATCAAAACCTTAAATCATTTGAGATAATTATTCACCACTTCCAACCAAAAAATAAACCCAGTTGTTGCAACCAAGACCACAATCACTGATGTCACCGCTACCACCGAAAAAAGTTTGCAAGAAGATTGTGGTGGTTCCAGGCGATGAAACGACTGCGACGTTAATGGAGGATAGAACAGAGGTGTAAGGGTTGAATTCTAACAATGTGATACTTATGTGTAAGCCTTGGATGGAGGTTGTGGCAGTTGTCAATATGGAACGTGGTGTCATCGGAGATGGATACAAGAAGGAAGAGGTTTAGAGGAGGAGATCAGCATGGGAAGCGTCACTGTGGATCATGTAATGTGTACTGTTTTTCGAGTTATCGATGAGGTGGCTTTTAAAAACCATGTAATATTTTTTTTATCTATACCATATTATAAAGCATTTGGCTCATTTTATTAAAAATAAATTACCATGT